TATATATATATATATATATATATATAATTTAATTTAATTATTTAATAGATTTTCATGGAAATATGTAAGTAATATGAGGTGTGACATACATTTATATGTATGTAATAACAAATTCACATGATGCCTCAGTCTGTTATTTATTGGTTAAAATTGTGGAACTCAATATGTTTTGTTAGGATTTTGAGAGACAACAAGTGTCAAGTGATATGAAATAATACTCAAAGATCACCAAATAATCACTATGCCCCAAGGACATGGTCAAATGGTATATCATAATTTTTGTGATTGATAGAGGTGATAGGCAATAGCGACTACAGAAAATTTTATAGATACAGTCATCCAAAAAATTTAAGTTCTATAAATTTTATTAAAGACATATTTATTCATAAATCCCATTTAGAGGACTTATAGCTCAATAAGTCCATAAAGTTTTCTTATGTTTCACCTAGTCCCATATATTTAGACTTGTATCTCAGATTGGAAGCCTCTATTTTACACACCAAGATTTATCTCGTCCCACACCATTACTTAGTTCACACCACCCACAATTTTTATATTTTTATCATTTTCTCAATTCACACCTCAAAATACTTCAAATTCCCTTGTCTTCATTGTTTCTCCACTAACCCTAATAACCTTAACCTGTATCTATATGTATATAGGTGAGCAGCGGGATGTCCAGCCCCAACCTTAGTGGTCTTGTGAAAGAACCAAGTTTTGTGATGTCAACCCGGGATGCTTCACACAAGAGGCTTTGTTTCTAATCTTTTGTTTTGTCCTTGGGTTACTTTTGTTGGTCACATATGACCACTTATGTATATAAAGTTTTGGCTTGGAGGATTATGTTATATGAGTGTTCCTGGACATGTAAGATGTTCTTTTGTATGAATGGTGTACTCTCCTCTCATCGATTCTCCTCGCCTGACCTCCCGTGAAGGCCGATGAGAATGCTCCCTCACCATATCATGTTGGGGGACTGCAGGGATTGCTTTCTGCCCCCTTTTCTGGGCATCGTTCTTTGCCACTAGGATTGGCATGTCCTCTAATGGAAATGGTGGTTGCATGACGTTGTTCTGCATCATGAAATTGACAACCGATTGCAGGTCCGCCAATTTGTTTGACATCCCTTTCATCTTGCCGTCCCTCCTCAGGCATCTATCTTTCTATACTTGGAGGTCACTTTCGTTGTAATACGTGCCTCGGTCTGCTTTCTTTGGCATGTCTCCCTCTTTGCCGACGTCTTTTTCCCCGAGATTCTGCTCCCAGGGTTCTTCATTACAGTTCTCCTCCTCTATAATAGGATCAATGTGTTTGCCACTCCCACTAGGGATATCGTCCCTGACCTTTTCTTTCTGCCCGTCGTTGGCCATCTATTCTCCTTACATTCCCACAGACGGCACCAAATTGTGGTTGTTGATTTTTGACCACACAACCAAACGGGGAAACTCAGTAGGAGAGCACCAGCACAATAGATTAAGCCCAAACAACTTGTCACAGAAAGATAAGAATCTGGTGGTGGTTTATCCACCCGGGGGCACTCTGACAATCAAGTCAATAATCAATTATCTCTCAAAGATAACCAATAATTCTTAACTCACTAGACAGAGCATAAAAAACGTACCTTAAATCCACGAGGGTGCCTTACTTTTATAGCCAGCACTAACCTGATCCCTGCAAAAGCCTAGCTTCAATAGACTTTAGCTTAATGCTCATCTTGGACTCCCAGTTAGATAGAGATAAACTCCCTAAGAGTTTTATCTTTATCTAGACTAAGGTCCTCTCCCATTCTAGGACTCTTGTCCCTCATCCGCTCATCTCGGAATTCGATATCTCCGAAAATAATCTCAGCCTAGCCAAGATAACCTCGGCGTCATGACCAAGCCACGTGGCACCTCGGTTAATACTTCGACATCACCTTAGCCACGTGCTGTCACTCTCAAAATATGTCCCCACAGCCTCCAAAAAAGTTCTAGCTTCTGCTAATAAAGGAGAGGACAACCGAATAGAGAGCACTTGGTGAGATACCTACACTTAAGCGTCATCAAAACAAACCCATGTGGGGCCGGCTACTTCGGTGCTTTGTTTCCATGCTCCATCCACCACACAGGTAAAGAGCTGAAAATCATCAGATGGTGTAACAGTATTAGAGCATCTCTAATGGTTCTACTATATCAGTTGCCAAAGCTAAAAAATGACAGGAATGGCAAATATGAGTCTCCAATGGTCTACTATTTCACTTGGCAAAGATGGCAGATGCCATATGTGTTCTCAAATTTGGCAAGTGAAATGGCAGATGCCAAGCTTGCCAGATCAACAAAAATCAAACCGTTGGAGACCCAATTTTCATAATCAAGCAAATTTCAGTTTCAGATATCAAAACATATATATCAATGCAAATTTCTGTATACCGGATAATCAAAAAATTGTTCATGACAGATATAACAAAATTGAAGACAAATCAAATTAAAAAATTAAAAAATTCATATATATATATATATATTGATGAAGGAACAAATCAAAAAAAAAATCAAAATAGAAGGAGATCAAGACAAAATTCATGACAAAATTAAAAAATTGATACATATATATATGAAGACAGATCAAAACACACACACACATATATATATATATATATGAGTATGTATATAGATGGAGATCGTACCATTATTCTGGAGAGTACACAGATCGGAGGTGCGGATTGAGAGGGAGGCATAGTGAACCAGAGAGGGGGGGTTTCGATCTTGGAGGAGAAGGGGGAGATTGGGTTCCGATAATGGAGGAGATCATGGAGGAGAAGGGGTTCCGATCTTGGAGGAGATCATGGAGGAGGGGGTTCCGATCTTGTGCTCTGTTTGGTTTGGTTTGTGCTATGTTTGATTTCGGCCATGAAAGAGAAAGAGTGAAAATGAGAGGGAGAGGAAGAGCCGTGGAGGAGAAGAGTGAGAAGAGAGTGATGCTTTGATCTGTCTTGATCAAAACATATATATTTCAATAGTGTAATAAAGAGCTAAAGAGCCGTTAGGTTCTGTTTGGTTTGTTAAAAAAAAAAAAATTACAATAAATTTTTTACAACAGCTCTTTTAAACAAAATTTTCAAACAAATATATAAAAGAGCCCAACAAATTTTTCAAACAAATATATAAAATTACAATATTTGTTTGGGGTGAATTAATCAAACAATTTTTTTTTCTTTCAATTTTTCATTTTTTTTTAATTTTTTATATTTGTCTAGTTGGGAATAATATAAATATATAATTTTTTTAACAAACAGGTAAAAAAATGTCACAAATGACAAATAAATAAACAAAAATAAAATCACAAAAAACCTATATCCAAACAACACCTACAAAGTTGGAGGAAAAAGTTGGTTGAGATTTGCCAAAAATAGCAAATGACCATTGGAGCACCATTGCTATAATTTGACAAAATAACACTATTCATTACTAAATTATAACAATAGCAATCCTAATATAACAACAACCATTGAAGATACTCTTAGAGAACCTATATATAAGTGTTTGTTTTTATTTATTTATTTTGGCTTACCTATTCAAGCTTTGTGTTGTTGGCCGTCCTCCCAAACTCTCTGGAATTAGATTAGATTAGAATTAGATTGTTCCTATTGTTGCCATTCTCAAAAACTAAAGAACGAAAACAAAAGAACCATCCAAAGCCGGCTAGACAACAACTCATTAACTAATAATCTCTAATTCAGTCTCCACCTTTCTATATCTCTGTATCTCTTTTTCTCTCTTCAATTCAAACCAAACATGGCCAATCTTTCTCATTCCCTAACTACATTGCTCTTTTTTGCAATCACCATTTCAGTACTACCCATCTCATCACTATCCCAACCCAATGAAACTTGCAATGGCATATTAATATCATACACCTACAACTCAGGGTATCCTCTCCCACCCACACTCCTCCCCTCCGACCCGACCCACCAACCGTACCGCTTCCAATCCTTCCTCACTGTCCTCAACAACGCTCTCTATGAGCTCAAGTCTTGGCGGGTCTTTGTCGGGTTTCAGCACCGTGAGTTCTTGGTCTCTGCTCCGCTGGCTGTCTTGGCTGATGGGACTTCGCTTCCTGCGGATGTGGGTAACGGGTCGGTATTTGCCGGGTCGTCGTCGCCGGACCTTAAGTCGGCGGCTGAGACTGCAGGAGATTTGAATCAGATGCAAGTGAAAATTGAATTGGTGGGGACCCAGTTCGGAATTGGAGCTCCGGATGTTCCTATGCCGGCTACTCTGTCTCTTGCCAATGATGGGTTTTTCTGCCCTGCTCCCACAAAGAATGGTAACTAGCTTTCCTCTACTGTTTTGATTTTTTTTTTTTACTGTTTAATTATAGAGAATTGTAAGTGTGTTTGTTTTTAGTTTTTTGAATTTAATTTTTTGAAAATTGATTTTTTTTGTTTTTCGTATTTTTTTTTTATTTTTAGTGAATATTTTTTAAATTTTAAGTAATTTTTTACTTTTTTAGATATATCTAAATAGTAAAATATTTGAAAAAAAATATTTTAAAAAATTAATAAATACACAAAAATATGAAAAATATACTAAATTTTTGTTTTTGTTTTTTTTTTGTATTTTTTGGTATTTAGTGTATTTAAAAAAAAAATTACAAAAATTATACTTTTTAAGTGTTTTTATGTTAGGTGTGTCTAAAAATTAAAATAAATTATTTAAAATATTAAAAAAATTCATTAAAAACATTAAAATACGAAAAATAAAAAGTAAAATTTTCTGAAAATTAGAACCAAATTGATTTTTTTTTCAATCTTCTTTTTGCTTTCTTGAAATTGTTTTGTCAATTTACTTGTTTTAAATAAATAAATTTAACTATGTAGTTTTAGGGTCATATTGAGGTTGCTTCGGTTAGATTATTCAGGAAGAGTAACGCTATATGTCAATAAGTATATGTACGGGGAGCAAATATTCCGGCGTGCCCGTATTCCTTTCTTCCGAGCTCCGTCGATATCCGATCACCTGCGAGTAAATAACGGTGAGCTACCCGGCGGTGTGTGGCCGGAAAAACCCTCCGACGGTCAAGTTAGCACACACCTTAGAGGGAATAGAGAGAAGGGAGGGAGTGTTTGAGTGTAAGAAATCCTTACAGATGTGTTCGTCCTGCGTATGGGGGACGCAGGCATGCTTTTATACCTTCTGAGCCCCATATCCACTCCCAGTCATCTCCTGACACGTGGCTCCGCTATCCCATCTGTCAGCATAAACCATGCCATTCACCACCTAACCCCAACTGCCTGACTTCACAGCTGGAGCTCGGCAGCCGAGCTGTTCTACCTCGGCCATGTCATGCTTCAAACCCATGCGCCTAGCCGGACAAACACATGAAGGACCGGGCTAGGCGGCATCTCGGCAAAGCCTAGCCCGGGCTCCTCCTTTGGTTGGCCTTCTCGCCGGTCAATCAACTACCTCGGCTGACCGCGCCTTTCCGGGCGCCGGTCTCTCGGTCTGTCTGGTTTCGACCATCCTCGGACCGAGCATCCTGGTCGGACCGGTCACTTCCTGGCCGAGCAGCTTCCGTACGGTCCGGGGCGGCACACACTCAGTCGAAACTCTGCCCGGCCCAAGTTCTGGTAGCCCATTTCCGGGCGGATAGTTGATCAGCTCGGCCCCATACACCGTTGGGCCCTCAACCTGCTCGGCCGTCACCTCGGCCCAACTCCAGATCATAAATTACCCTCTCAGTATACTAACTAGTGTACTAATAAATGATATGATATAATTTAAGATATTTTTGATATTTATAATTTATATAATGAGTGGAATCAATAATAATGTATAATTTCCTAATTAGTACACTAATTAATGCATGTAACACCACTCATTAAGGAATTCAGGTTCACAAACAAGGGATTTCAATGAATTATTTGCTTACCCCAAAAAATGTTTAGTAATAGGGAATTAATACAAAAACCACCTCCATATATTCAGGAAGAGTAACGCCATATGCCAATTAGTACACTAACTAGTGTACTAGTTAATGATATGACATAATTTAAGATATTTTTTATATTTATAATTTATATAATGAGTGGAATCAATAATAATGTATAATTTCCTAATTAGTACACTAATTAATGCATGTAACACCACTCATTAAGGAATTCAGGTTCACAAACAAGGGATTTCAATGAATTATTTGCCTACCCCAAAAAATGTTTAGTAATAGGGAATTAATACAAAAACCACCTCTATATAATGTGGATAAGATAAATCTACGTATATTTACATATATGAACTTTTTTCAAAACAAAAAATGTATAGGGTAAATTACATTTTTGTATACTTCTACTTCTTTTTTTTTAAAAAAACAAAATATACTTTTATTTTACATTCAATCTTACGTCTTTTTGCTTTTTAATTGTGACAATCAAACCCTCATATCAAATGTCAATATTCTCCCCTTTCATATTTGTTAGAAAAAAAAATGCATAAAATTGTCACTACACAACGTGTGGCCTAATTTTAAGATTGACGTGTGACAATTTCTTTCAATTTGTCTAACAAATTTGAAGGAAGTGAGATATTGACACTTGTATAGGATTTTGTCTGGAACAATTGAAAAGCAAGGAGATAACTTGGGATTGGGTCTTTGTGTACCATTATGTAAGACCACTCTGTATTTGGAATGAAACAGGGAATTAGAAACAGGGGATATACCATACATGCATGCAATACCATCTTTAAAAGAGGCAAAAAAGATGTTTAGTTTACAAATTAAGTTTTGAATGTTAATATATTTGTTGGATATAAATCTACAGGGAACAATGAGCTCCATTTGTGCTGCACCCAAAATTCGAGCTACAAGTCTAACTTCACAGCAAATAAAGATTTTCAATCGCGTCAAAACGGCGATCTCATCATTATGTACGATGTGATCAAATCGTTTGACACCAATTACTGGGCACAAGTAACCATCTCGAACCACAACCCCTTAGTCCGTCTTGATAATTGGCAGCTAAGTTGGGACTGGACAAGGGACGAATTTATCGGCTCCATGAAAGGCGGTTACCCTTACTTGGTCGATACAGCAGACTGTGTATTTGGCCCACAAGGACAGTACTACAAGGTAGGGGTGGACGTCGTGTTATGTCATGTCATTTTTTAGTTCGTATCAGAATTTGCTTAATACTAACCTAATCTGTTTAATTTTTTTGTGTTATTACCAGGGGATGGATTTTTCGACAGCATTGAATTGTGAGAGACGGCCAACCATCATAGACCTTCCTCTAACGAAGATGAATGACCCAAATCTCGGGTTTGTCCCCTTTTGTTGTCGCAATGGAACAATCTTACCGCCTGACATGGACTCGAGCAAGTCCAAATCAGTTTTCCTAATGCAAGTTTACAAAATGCCACCGGACTTGAACATAAGCCAACTCACCCCACCTCAAAATTGGAAGATCAATGGCACAGTCGACTCGGATTATCAATGTGGGCCTCCGGTGATGGTAAGCCCGAGCCTATTCCCCAACCCTAGCGGCATACCTTCAGAATCAGCAGCAGTTGCTAGCTGGCAAGTTGTTTGCAACATAACACAATCCAATTTGGGGAAACCGAAATGTTGTGTATCATTCTCAGCGTTTTTCAACGACTCTGTTGTCCCGTGCAACACGTGCGCTTGTGGTTGCGATAACCGCCCAATTAACAGCGTATGTAGCGAAACTACACCATCACTTCTGCTTCCATCAGAAGCTCTTCTTGTTCCGTTTGAGAACAGAACAAAAGAAGCAGCGGATAGGGCCAAGCTAAAAAAACAGGCCTTGCCTAATCCATTGCCTTGTGGGGATAATTGTGGCATTAGCATCAATTGGCATTTGCTGACAGATTACAGTGGCGGTTGGACTGCTAGAATTACACTTTTCAATTGGGGCGAAACTGACTTTGTTGATTGGTTCGCTGCTGTGCAATTGGATAAAGCCACTCCTGGCTTTGAAGCAATGTACTCTTTCAATGGAAGCGTGCTTCCTAATGCTACCAATACAATATTTCTCCAAGGTCTTCCCGGGTTGAACTATCTTTTGGCTGAAAAAGATGGACATAATCCGAAGAAAGATCCTCGTGTTCCAGGGATGCAGCAATCTGTGATATCGTTCACAAAGAAGACAACACCGGGGATTAATGTGGCTCGGGGAGACGGTTTTCCAACGAAAGTCTACTTTAACGGGGAAGAGTGCTCGCTTCCTTCTATACTTCCGGGCAGTAGTCATAAAATAGGTGCACATACCAGTTTTCGCAGCATTCTTCTAGCGTTGCTAGTGCTCTTGTTTGTGCAATAACTTCTTATTCCTCTTCCTCGTTTTAAAAAATCTCTACTTCCAAAATTTTATTTTTAGCTGTTTTGCGCTCTTCAAATGATTGTTTAACCTAATGACCCATCAATAGCGGATTCAAAAGATTAGCCACCTCAAAAGTGTTAAGAAGCTTTACATTTTTGTTGCGATAGTTGAGGCTTATGTATTAAAAGAACATAGCAAAGCAAGTTTGTATTTTTATTTTTTAACATGTAGACAATGTATTCAATTTATTTATTGATTTTTCTTACTTACTAAAACTTCACGTTTTAGTTTTATTTTCTGTTCTTATTTGTTATTTACTTAGTCGAATTGGTCATATTTATTTCTCTATCCAGATATTTTATTTCTCTCAATTCTACGTTGTTTTGTATTTCATTGTTGGCAAATTCGGATCATTTTATTGATGTAATTTTTCAACTTCTAATGATTCAGTTACATGATTACTATTATGTGCAGTTTTCTTTTGTAGCAGGGAATGGTTGCAAAATATTTGTCCATAGAGATTATAGAGCTGATGTGACGGTCCAAAATGATTTGGTTTACAATGAAAAAAACAAATACAAAATAATATGTTGAGCTTTGATTCTATCATTTTAAAACTCAAAAATCATCTAAATGCTTTTGGTTTGGAAAAAATTATTGCCATGTCATTTTGGTATATGATTCTGTAAAAACATTTTGAAAGAATAATATTTTGTCAAGCTTGGGTTAATTTTTATTGAGTTTCTAGAGATTCAGCCTTGTTTGATTTGACTTTGGAGATAAGTTTTCAAAAAATATTTTGAGAAGAGAGTTTAGAAATTTTTGTGTTCTATTTGGTTGTATATTTTGAAAATAGTTTGAGAGTTTGGGATGATTTAATATTTTGTTATAATTGAATAGATGTATGTGAGAGAAAAAGTAATTGAAAATGAGAGAGAAGAGAGAAAAAGTGATAGGTTGATGTGTAGGAGAAAGAAAGTGATTTTGGAATTTTTTTGAAAAAAATTTACAAACCAAACAAAATTTCCAAATTTTTTTTCCAAAGCCAAACTAAATAAGGCTGTAGAATTTGGTTTGTTTTTGGCAATTCAGCTAAAAGTCTTTTTTTTTTTGGCTTTTTAACTTTTTGGAGTGACATCATCTATCTATTTTTTATACATATTTATAAAAAAAAATTAAAAAATCAGCTTCTAACCTAGTTTTCAAAACAAGACATTTGGTATAAGATTCTAAAATGATCTCACAGAAAGTTGTAGGAGTTGAGGAAGAATATATTATGGGGAAGTTGTCTTCAACAACTGGTGAGCATTAAGAGATGCCTTAGACTGGGATCAAGTAGTTGGCTTGGTTAGATTGTGACAAGCTCAGTTACAACCTTTGCTTCATTGTGAACTTGATTTTGGTAATTGGGTCAATACGAAAATTATATGAATTTGAAACCCAAAAAAAAGTCCAAGAGATTATATGCAAGCCCAAAACTAGAAAGATCAGATATTTTATTTGATTTGAAAAATTTTACCTGGGTATATAGAAGCACTTGTGTCTAGAAATGTGGGTAGTCAAAAATTTTCAATTGGATCCATATTTAGTGAAAAAAACGATTCAATTTATTTTATGTCATAGACCTTCTAAGAAGGAGATGCATAATTGAGTAAGGACAGAACAATTTTTTTTCTTGGATAATATTCTCCAGGCACATATATATATATATATATATCACGGAACTCTTTTGACAAAAAATACTTTTATTTTATTTTATACAAATTTAAAAATGTTGTGTGTCTGTATTTTTTGTTAGTTTATCTAGTATGTACTCTATTTTTTATAACAGTAAAATATTCCTGTAAATCAAAGTAACATATTATCCTAATTCTATTAATGTTAACTATAGAAGATGCTTTATATTGCTTTGATAATATAACATATAGGGAGAGGCACTCCAATCCACTATGGGTGTGTTTGATTGGACGGACTGGATAAGGGAGGATTAGAATCCATCGGATTTGAGTCCTGGGACTGTGAATTCCCCCAACTATTTGGTTGGATTGGATATGTATCCTATGCTTGTTTTTTCATGGGATTAGATGTCTTGAAATGATTATTTTTAGTGAATCCAACATTTGGTTGGACGGATTGGATAGGATAAATGACCAAAAGACTATTTTACCATTTTTTAATAAATTATTAAATAATAGCAATATTAAACACATCTTTAATATTTTAATTATTTTTATCTAGATTAAATAAAAATTTATTTTATTTTATTTTTTACACAATTTAAAATTTATTTTATTTTTTACACAATTAAAATTTATATCAATAAAAATATATGTTATTTTTTAATTAAATTTTAAACAAATTTGTTTTTAAAAATAATAATAATTAAACAATGAAATGAAATAAAAATCTATTAAAATTTAAATAATGAAATTAAATAAAATATAAACAAAATTTTAAAATAAAACATCAACAAAATATCTATAAAAAATTATTTTTTAAAAATTAAATAAATAAAACATCAATAAAAAGTTAAATAAAATTATTTTATTTTTAAATTGAGACATTTAAATTTTATTGAATTTTACTAAGTATAATAAATAATTAAATAGTAGAGGGTCAAAATGGTCATTTTACCACCTAATCCCAACATTGGATTGTCTCTCCAAAATTGTCCCACACCCTCCCTAGGACACAATAGTCCCCCATATAGGGGATAAGAAGTCTGGCCGGACTCTATGTCTGGCAGACTAAAAAAAAAACAAACGGCGGATTGGATACTTCCTTTAGATTACAATCCGCACAGTAAATAGCCCTCCTCCTTATCCCCCCCAATCAAACACACCCTATGTGGACTAGAGTGTATTGTTGGGGCTGTGAAGCCCGTTACAGATTCTATTTCGATAATTCAAATCGTTCAATGTGTAAAACTCGATTCAAAATAAGTAGGCTTACCTCAAAGCCGAAGCTCCTATAATTGCTTCAACTTGAAGAGACTGACTTGAGCATTGTGAAAGATTCATAGATAAGATTGCCCTCTATCTATCTAAACAATACCCCTTGTGACGATGCTACAGCTTACATGTACTTTCTTTTGATCTCACTTACCGCCCATGCTTGAGGAAAAGATCTAAGTTTTGGTCACATACTCGTTTTTACAAATATGTTTTGAAAAGTTCTTCTAATACTGAAAAAAATTACATTGATCGAATATCAGTAGCTCCTTGATCAGAACACATTTTCGTTAATGTAAATATGATTTTAAAAATAAATTGTTAAAAAATATATGTTTTGATTAAGGAGTTATCGATATCCAATCAACGTGATTTTTTGTAAGTGTAAAGTACTCAACGAGTTTTATACATTAAATGGTTTAGATCATTGAAACGGGACATATGATGGACTCTATAGACTCAACAATACAATCTAGTTCACATAATAAACTGTAGAGAAGCCTCTCCTAAAATATAAAGTGATCACAGTTTGAGTGGGAGGGGGCAGAGGTGATTAGTTATAACGGAGAGGAAGGAATGGTGGTGAGACATAGGGATGGTGGCAAAGTCAAGAAGAGTTCAAGAGTACACACAAAATTTGTCAATAAAATTGGCCTTCAAATCAAACAAGAAAATGTCAAATTAAATTTGTAAAAGAAAATAATAAAAAAAGAGACAAATTAAAAAAAAAATTTAAAATTTACTTAAAATACAGATTATTTTTATAGTTTGAAAAATTACAAATATCCCTTATGATATATTTTTATTTAATAGAATTAACTGTAAAAATAAAATTATTAACTACTCTCATATATAATGATAAAATTAACTGAACTATTAATTGAAATAAATTTATGATATCATTAAAAAAATTTCTTAACTACTCTCTGTACGGGGAGAGAATATTCAAGCAAGCCCGTACTCCCTTCTTCCAAGCTCCGCTTCTATCCGATCACCTGCGTACACAAAGGCGGTGAGCTACCCGGCGGTGTGTGGCCGGAAAACCCCTCCGACGGTCAAGTTAGAACACACACCAGGGGATAGATAGAGAGAATGGAGAGAATTGCACTTAAGTGTTTCTCTTACCAAATGTACGTCTGTCTCCGTATGGGGGGCGCAGACATGCTTATATACCTTCTGCGCCCCAAATCTACTCCCAGTGACCTCTCAACACGTGGCACTGCTATCCCATCTGTCAGCATAAACCTTGCTGAGCACCACCTAACCCAACTGCCTACCCATTCTCCTGGGAGCTCGGCAGCTGGGCAGTACCATCTCGGCCATCGTCTGCCATGCTGCGCTTCATGCCCAAGAACTCCAACAGCTAAGCTCAGATAAGGACCGAACTCGGCGGCATCTCGGCAAGGCCGAGCTCGGGACAACTCACGCTTGTCTGCGGTCGACCTACCTGCCGAGCAAACAGGTACCTCGGTCCAGCCTTGTCTTTCCTGGCGCTGGACTTTTCACCTGACCGGCTTCATAACCACGGATCCTTGCAGCTCGGTCAATCCACGCGCTGCCTTAACCGAGCAGCTTCCTTCAAGGCCGGGCCACACAACTTGGCCCAACACTTGTTCGGCCCAAATCTGTCTGGTACAGCTCTGTCCGGCCCAAATCTGTCCGGCCCAATTCCATATCATTAATCTCCCTCTCAATTGCCCCTTAATTCCGTCTGCTGAAGCGTGACTGGGATTACCTATCCTGACCGGGGTAATACTTCCTCGGTCCTCAGTATGCAGAATGGCGACCGAGCTAGTTGACATTCCTGTCTTCAAAAATTGCCCGGTTGACCCCTCGACTCTTCATCCTATCTCTTCAATTCTGATGCTGCCATAAATGGGGACATGTGTGAACCCTCTATTGGTCCTCGAGCAGCCAACCCAGCCGTCCCCTCAATTTTGAATTTGGGCGGCCTCACTACCCCTATAAACATGCATCTTCCTTCTTCCTTTGATTCTTACTGACTCTCTGGAATTCGAAGCACTTCGAAGCTGCTGTGCCCTCGCCAAGCTTCCATTCTCATTCTTTCTCTGTGTTTGCGTTGGAAGGAACTGCATTTGCACCAAATCTTGGTAAGTCTCTTCAAGATTTTGCTATTACATTTGTTATTCTACACTTTAGGGCACCTATTCCTTAGGTTTTAGGATTTAGGCATACAGAATCGTCCCAAACCCCTTACTGTTTATGGTGTTCTTCATTTTCCTTGATGAACTTTGAAGATCCGGGGACGACCGGGCTCCAGGTC